TGTGGTCTCCACGTTCTGTGGGGGAACAAATCACTTTGTCCAAACAAATTGAGACTTGAACTTCACTACTTAAACACCGATCCATGTGAATAAACCTGACTCTAGAAAACACGACGCATCCAACCGCAAAGCTGCAGCAGGTAAATGTTTAGTCACCCAGGGGCCGAAAGCCCACCCCCTTAGTAAGGAAGAGCGAACGGAGAGTGGCTGCCTCTGAGAACACAGGTTTGCTCCCCTGTGCCCAGGACAGAGCCTTTCCAAATTCCCAGAAAAAAGCTCAATTTGAAGGAGCTTACGCAGAAAAAAATGTACTGAGACTCACGTGGCCAGATGACCTGGGACATAAATCAGCGTAGGCGGCCTGGGTCACGGAGCCCCAGTGATGTCATCGAGGGCTTCTCCCTCTCTGTTTCTTGGCTCTGCTCCACTTAACATAGATGACTCAGGACTGCAAAGGTTAGCAGAACCCAGTCCACTGCTTCGGGGTAGCAAAGCCCTTGTCAGCAGTTACAATAGGCAGGGTTTTTCGCAATGATTTGTGGGAGACAAGTTCAAAAGGAGAGGCGGACTGACTCTCCCTGGCCCTATGACCGTGGTCAAAATGGTGTCTTCTGATTGGCCAGGTGTGCGGGGGGTGGGATCAGCCCCATGGCAGGCTGGAAGTGGGTTTCCGCCATCAACCTCTCAGGTGCACCCTCCAAAGCAGTAAATGCTATTGAACAGTAAGAATGTTAATAAGACACAAGCTGCTGGTATTGATGCTAAGACCAGGGTTTGCCCGGTGGCGCACAAGTGGGTCAAGTCTGAGAAACAGACTCTCGCAGGCTACCTTCTCTCCCATCTGGAAGGCTGGAAACAGGCTTTGGAAAAGACTGTAGGCAGAAGTTGCCTCAACAGTTGTTGGTACATTACTTAAACCCATGACAAAGCAACCGTGTTGGCCTACCTAGAATCACTATGTTAGGTGATTTAGGTAAATAATTTATTTTTTTTTAAATAACCCAGGGGTTTGAGAACTGCATAGCTTAGGCGATTTCAAGCCAGGATGAGTCATTTAGCCTGAAATAATTGCTACTGTTGACAGTGGGGTGCCCTCCGGCCAGGAAATCAGGCAAGTGTTTCCAGCGGGCTGGCCAGACCCCTCTCTGCTCCCGCACATGTGGTCAATTCAAACATAACCTCGGGGCTCCTTCCGGGGCTCTCAGGTACTCAACACGTGCTCACACTGCTGTCCCCCTCCACCCGGGGTACCTGTAACCCCCATGTACTCCTGAGACGCAGTGGCTGAGGGCGCAGCACGGCTGGCCCACGCCTGGGCTTCTGGGAGTATGCCCAAGTGCAGCAGCTTGAGAGTCATTTTATGGCTCCACACAGGTTTGGGTGATTCAGTCCAAGGTCGAGGTCAGCTGGAAACGCTACAACTAATGGGATCCCCTAACTGCAGCATCTCCTGCCCTTAGAGGAGGGAGTTCCCGTTACCGTGCTCAGTTTTCGACTGAGATGCAGAGCGAGCAGACGTCACCGTCCGCTCTGCCCACACCCTCCCCTTCCTTGAACAAGCTACAGCACCGCATCTCTCCACCCTCTCATATGGGGAATGCCCCCACTAGGTACACCTCGCCCGGTCTTAGTTACCACAAAGTGCTCGTGCAGGGCGGTTGTCCTCCCAAGGCCTCGAAAGCTCAGAAACTGTTAACTGTCTGTAAGCCAGAAGGGAGTAGTCGCCTTTAGAACAAGAAAAACGGCTTTCAGTCAACAAATACTTGGAGAAATGCTTTGTTCTGGGCGTTTGGCGTACAGCAGTAGCCAACACCATGTCCCTGCTTCCATGGAGCTTTCAGACATCAAACAAATAACGGCACAAATGATGACAGTTGTGATGGGTGTCATAAAAGAGACACAGGGTGCTATGAGAGCTACTACAAGAGAACAGATTTTTTAAAAAATATTTGTTTGAAAGGCAGAGTCACAAAGAGAGAGGGACAGATATACCTTCTGTCTGCTGGTTCACTCCCCAAATGGCTGCCAAGGCCAAGGCTGAGCCAGGTCAAAGCCAGGAGCTTCTTCTGGGTTTCCCATGTGCATGGAGGGGCCCAAGGACTTGGGCCATCTTCCACTGCTCTCCCAGGCCCATTAGCAGGGAGCTGGATAGGAAGTGGGGCAGCCAGGACTCAAACCAGTGCTCATATGGAATGCCAGCACTGCTGGTGGGGGCTTAACCCATTATGCCACAACACTGGCCCCGAGAGGGCAGACCTTACATTGTTGGATCATGATGGCCTCTGGGAGAAGAGACTTAAATGGAGATAATAACGTAAGCCAGAAGGACTTGGGGGTGGGGAGTGTGAGCACCCTGGGACCTGCAAGAAGTTACATCGTGTGGGCAGGAGGGAGAGGCGTGAGATGAAGGTGAAGAGATGAGCACAGGAAAGGATCAGACAGCCTCTTGGGTAACATTAAGGATTATGAACCCATATCCAAGGAGAGTTCTGAGCGGAGAAGTGACGCAAGAAGTGTACTTTTATAGACTGGCTCTACTTGGCCTTCGGACAGTGCACTGAGAGGACGGGAAGAGCACAGCGGCCATTATTAGCGTCTGCAGGCGTGGCAGCACCTGTCGGCAGGGCAAGTCGAGGCTTGGGGAGAAGCCTAACTGCAGGTCAGGTGTGCCAAGTACGGGGTGACAGGAGTCAGGGACGATCCCCCATTTCTGGCGTGAGGAACTCCGTGATGATATCCATTAACGAAAGGAGGCCTGGGCGCGTGCAGGGATTATGAACTCCATTCGGATATACAGAGGCAGTTCTCCACGGGCCTGGAGCTACAAAGTAGCCGGATACAGCAGTACCTGCTTTAGAGATGAAAACTGAAGCCAAGAGTTTGGCTGAGATCACCCATCAAGCAAACATGGTACTAAGCCAGGGCTTCATGCTGAGCTGAGATCCACCACTTAAAACTGGAGTGGAGGAGGTGGTCAGAAAACGGGGAGAGGGAGCCAGACTCCACCTGTGTCCAACGCCCGCTTCCTCCTGGAACTCAGGTCCTGTGTAGCCTCCTCCCCCACGGAATAGGGTTGACCTGTGGAAGAGCCCGACAGTGTGGAAATGACAGAGGAAGCTGTCGAAGCTCTGAACACCTCAAGTGGCACCTTGGGGAGCTATTCTGACTACACTACAGGACCTGTCGGAAGCTCAAGGACATTGTCCCTCATCGGTGTGAGCAGCTCGGTGGGGAGGAGGACTGATCGCCAGGGGGCCTGGGGTGTGGCTGCATCTAACGGAGTGAACTTCAGTAAGACGCTCAGGAAATCCAAGAAATGTCAAAGATAAAAGTGTGTGCAACTGACGCTGACAGCTGGGACTGAAAGGGGTACCACATACAATGCAAACATGGCCCTCAACAGTCCCCCACCTTCCTGTAGTCACAGCTCCATGTTATGTACCCCCTCCACACTGGATCCGACTGCCCCAGTCTGTGGGGTGTGCGACACTGGAGGCCAAGCCCGGGAAGACAATGTAGAAGCCACCGTGCTGTCCTGGGTCACCGGCTCTGGGGGAAACCAGTTTCCGTATCACGAGAACATTCAAGCCGTCTCATGGAGATGCCCACTGGTGTGAGGAACTGAGGCTTCTTGCCAAGTTACGTGCACAACCCAACCCGGAAGTGGGTCCTCTAGCCTGTCACACAGTCACCTGCCTGCGCCAGGAGGGCCCTGGAACTCCCAGTTAGGGCACCCACATCCCTGAGCCACAGCAACGAGAGGTGATGCTTGCTGTCTTAAGGTGCTGCCTGCCTTTTGGGGAAATGTGTTAAGCAGCTATGGCTTACCTGATAGAAGACTGTCAGAGTGTAAATTCATGGAAAGTAGATGAACATGCTTTTAAAAAAAGATTTATTTTATTTATTTCAAAGATAGAGTTACAGAGAGAGGTAGAGACAGAGAGAGAGAGAGGTCCCCCACCCGCTGGTTCACTCCCCATTGGCCGCAACAGCCAGAGCTGCGCCAATCAGGAGCCAGGAGCTTCTTCCAGGTCTCCCACATGGGTGCAGGGGCCCAAGGACTGGGGCCATCTTCTACTGCTTTCTCAGGCCATAGCAGAGAGCTGGATCGGAAGAGGAGCAGCCAGGACCCGAACAGGCGCCCTTATGGGATACCGGTACTTTAGGCCAGGGCTTTAACCCACTGAGCCACAGCGCTGGCCCTGATAAACATATTTCAAGGAAGGAGCGGGTAACTATGTCCAATGTTGCAGAATGGCCAACCATGTCTCACACCAGGACAAGGAATCCCACATACTGATCATGAATTTTATTTAGACATCTTAATTAGGGGATAAAAAAAGATGCCAAACCAAGAAACAAAATCCTACCAGGCTCAGTATACTCAATCTAAGAAAACTGAGGGGCCGGCACTGTGGTATAGTGGGTAAAGCTGCTGCCTGCAATGGTGGCATGCCATGTGGGTGCTGGTTCAAGTCCTGGCTGCTCCACTTCTCATTCGGCTCCCTGCTGATGTGCCTGGGAGGGAAGTGGAGGATGATCCAAGTCCTTGCACCTCTGCACCCACAAGGTCTCCTGGCCTTGGATTTGCCCAACCCTGGCCATTGCAGCCATCTGGGGAGTAAGCCAGCGGATGGAGGACCTCTCTCTCTGTCTCTCCCTCTCTCTCACTCTGCCTTTTCAATAAACAAATATCTAAAAAAAGAAAAAGAAAATTGAGAAATATCTATCATTCTTCAGAGTTTTGTCATCAAAAACCTATTTTGTGTGTGGGCCACCTCTCGGCGGACTCATTTGACTGGGCTTGTCCCAAGTACCAGTGACCTTCCCACACGGATGTCGTCACAGGAATGCAGGTCTCGGGGGGCCGACGTAGCACCTGGAATGGTAGGTGTGCCGCTCCTGCTCATCCGGGCTGAGCCCAGGCAACAGCAACATTGTCTGTATTATATAACAGACTCCAAGATTTCCCCCAAAACAATCACTACAACCACCTCCTGTTTATGTTGCAATTTATATATTAGAAGTACTTTCACCACATTTTGTTTTGTGAATACAACCAACACAGTAGGGTATGAGTTTGTAGAAAAAGGCAAATACAATCAGTCTCATGTCCTAGATGAAGAGATCAAGTTCTAAAGAGGCGCGCGTTACTTGGTTAAGTCCACACGAGAGAGTCATGGTCAGGTCTTCCGACTTCAAGTTCAGAGGTTTTTCCAGAACACTGAGGCAGCAGCATTCAACAAGGACTTGTCCTCTATCCGGATTCTCCAGATACTCTCAGCTTAACTTCGGCATCACTTTCCACGGCAACCCCTCTCTTTCCCGTCTCAGCACCGTCCTCTGGGTGGATCTGCAGCCGGCACAGTCTGCCTGCTCTCAGCTGTGGCTCCCGTGTGACAGTCTCATTTCAATGTCCCGCCATGCTGCTGCTGTTCCAAACACTCCTCACTGGAAGTTGCCTTCACAGAGCCAAAATTCTTCCCAGTAGGAAAACCAGTCCACTCAGAGCTATGACTTGTTCTAAATTAAAAATGGCATGACTGGGTGGCTCACCCTCCTTAATCAGCACATTTTTAGCTATTCCCTAAACATCAATCTATCCGCAAAGGCCAAAACACTAAAGTATATTCACATACACTTGTGGCAGTCTCTGAGGGCACAAAGACATTCCAGAAAGTTCAGTAAAAACAGTTCTTTAAGATAAATATTCTGAGGAAGAAAATCCTCCTAAGCAATGTGTAACAATACTAATAAAATAATGGCTTGTATTAAGTTGCATGTTACAGTGCTTTGTCTGATTTAATACTCAAAGGAATCCTGAGATAGGACAAAGGTCTCTCTGTTTAAATATTAAACATTACCATGTAGTCACATCAGCAGTGTGCCCCAATATCACAAAGGGCAAAGGTTATGGTTGCATCGCTGGTAGTGCCGCCCCTGGGGTAGCCACCACCCTCGGAGGGCTGCTCTGTTAAAGATTGGGCCCAATCTGGTGTTCTTCACACACTTTCAAGCCTCTTAGTGTCCTGCCATCCCCGTATCAGTCTGAATTTTAGTCCATTTCAAGTAGATACTGAGTGTAGGAAACAGAACTCAGTATATTTTTGGCCTCTGAGCAATTCAAGTAGACATTTCCACCTTAACTAGGCCTACTTCTCTGGCTCCAACCTGACTTCCACTGCACCCATCCAAACTAGAAGGAGACGAGAAACCCATTTTCATACTTCTCTTTGTCATCAAGGTTAGTGCAAGGAGGTAGAAATCAAGATTTGATCCAAGAATGTATTTGTAAGTGGCACTCAGAAGAGCCAGTTTCACCAACGCCATCATTATATATATATATTATATATATTTTATATATATATTTTTTCCTAACCACCACCTCAGCAAGTAGGATCAGCTCATAGCTAGCTCTTCTTTTAGAGAGACAGAATTGCAGAAGGCTGCAGCCAGGTGAAAACCAACAGAGCCAACAGTAAGCCCAACACCACATCCCAGACCACGAGCACTGAGGTGCGGCCTTCACGGCTTCTGCCGTGGCCACGGGCTTTGAACCACTCTACGGCTTCCTGGAGGTCGAATGGCTGGGCCTCGTAACCCAGCTCCTTCTTGGCTTTCTCTAGGCTACAGTAATGAGTGACACCGGTTTTGTAAACTTCAGCGCAGGTGAGGAAGGGCTGGAAGTTGTAGAGTCTACCCAGAAGGAAGTGGGCTATCTCTGTTAGGAAAGCAAAGCAGTAGATGAGGGTCAGCGGCAGGCGGATGGACGGGAACGGGTAGCCCAGGCCCTCCACCAAAGGCCGGAAGAACTCAAAATTATTCACGGGCTTGCCATCTGAGATGAAGTAGGGCTGCCCAGAGGCCACGTGGCCCTTGTCAGCTTTCAGGGCCTCTGAGGCCAGGATGTGGGCTTGCACCAAGTTATCCACGTGGACAAACTCAACCAGGCTCTTGGGATCTCCGTACACGAACTTGAACAGGCCCCTCTCCAAGTAGCTCACTATCCTGGGAAGGTGCCTCTGTTCCCCGGGCCCATAGATGCCTGCTGGCCGCACAGCGCAGGTTCTTAAGACGCCTTGGCCTCCCTCCAGGGCCATCCCGTTTGCCTCCAACACCTTCTTCTCTGCGATGGATTTCGTTCGAGAGTAGTGATCAGGGTAGAGGTGAAGAGGCAAGTAAGGCAGCGACTCATCTCCGTTTCTGATCACCTGCCCTCCGAACACGACGTTGAACGTGCTCGTGTACACCAGTCGGGGCACCCCCGTCCTGCGGCACACACGGAGGATGTTCTCGGTGCCTCCCACGTTGACTTCTTCGATCCGCCTGCGATTCAGCTGCTCCCGCCCTGACATACCGTACGAGGCGATATGGAACACACACGCGATGTGTGCGTCCTGGAAGGCTTTCTCCAGGTCAGAGAGGCAGCGGATGTCCCCTGCCATGAACCTGACTCCTTCCGGAAGGGTTTGAGCCGGGCTGTGGACATCGAAAAGAATCACATGGACTCCTTTCTGGTTCAGGGCATGAGCTAGGCTGCAATAAGAAACAGCAGGAGTTAGGTCAAGTCGCCATCAGGCGAATGGGAGAAGTACAGAAACAATTTACTGATGAAGCGGGCTCTGACCCAGGTCTTCCTGCTGGATCCTGAGTCCCTCACTTTACGTGTTCATTGGTGTTAGTCTCACTTACCCAAATATTCAAAAATGCGAATCCTCCTTTACTGAAATTATAATGAGAGAGGATTTATCTCCAGAGAATGGCACTATCTACATAGTACATGCATTTTTCTATTCCAGGACCCACGATCCTTTCTCTTTGGAATATTTGTGAGTAATAACATAGTGTGAAAGAAAAGCTATTATCTTAAATTGCTTTTGGTGATGTGAAAAAGCACTTCTCCCCCAACACCATGGCTTTCTAAGAATTCTTCTTAAAGTGGAACACATCTGTAGTTCTCAACTTCAGTGTTTGAGCAGTGACTAACAAAGTTCACTTCTGCTTTAACAGTACACAAACAAGTAAAAGCCTATCCTGTACTCCTGTTAGAGATGACAGCTAAACTTTTTTTTTGGTTAATTAATGTATATGTATTTGAAAGGCACGGCTAGAGCAAGAGTGAGAGAGATGGACACCATCCACTGGTTTACTCCCCCAAGGCTGGGCGAGGCCAAAGCCAGCAGCCTGCAACTCCATTCAGGTCTTCCACGTGGGTGGCAGGGACTCAAGTGCCTTAGCCTCCCAGAGGGTACATGAGCAGGAAGCTGAATCAGAAGCAGAATGGGCGTGAAACCTAGGAACTCTGATATGGGATGCAGGCATCCCAAGAATCACTTAGCCAAATAAAGCCCAGAGAGCCCAACTTTTGTTAGCAACTATTGAAAGATAATCCCATGTGGATATTTATCAGATGCACTGACCGGAACCCAAAATAGCCACTTCCTCCTGTAATGAGGACTACTTCCTTTGGAGATCTTGGGGAGTCCATGTGAGTCAAAGACAAGTGGACCTGTAAGAAAGAGGTATGGGACATGATTACTAACTCCAGTTCAGATGGGATTTTCCCTAATTCAGAGCTAAGAGAGAAAAAAGCAACATACCCCAGTAAGATGAAAAGCTCATAAAAATTAGCCCCCACCCCGTGCTCCAAGAGAGGGGGAGACAGAGTGAGAAATCTTCCATCAGCTGGTTCACTCCCCAGATGGCTGCAGCGGAAGCCAGGAGCCAGGAGCTTCTTCTTGGTCATGGACAGCAGGGTCCCAAGCACTTATATTATCTTCTGCTACTTTTCTCAGGCCACTAGCAGGGAGCTGGATCAGAAGTGGAACAGCTGGGACTTGAATTGGCACCCATATGGGACACCAGCATCATGGGCAGTGGCTTTACCTGCTTTGCCACAACGCTGGGCCCTCCCCACTTCTTGGGCTTCAAGTTTCTACCTATATAATATGGCGACAGTATTATCTGTCCTATCATGTAGCAAGGTTAACATAAAGGTTAAATTAGATGACGCCCTGGGAGTGCTTCTGGGAGTGCTTTGAAAACCACAAAATATTTTGCAAATGAAAGGCATTGTTAATTCTTGGAAAAGATTAGAGACTTTTTGAAAGAATTCATTCAAATTTGGGACCATTTCCCCCCACACACTAGAAAATCAAAGCCAGAACTCTAAGGAAACTCCCAACATATGGTTCTGCTATTTATAAACACTAAGAAAAACAACAGGCTAGAAACTCCTTTATAGAACAACCACGCCCCCCTCAGCTCCCCACACCCTGGAATCTTCCATGTACTTCAAAGCCAAGTGTTCAATGCCTTTGGGGGTCGGCTTCTCCCTCCCTCTTCCTCTCCATCTCACTCTCCCTTTCAAATCCTCACAAGGCTCAGACCTGCATTCCAAAAACAAAACAAGTAAAAAGTGGGCCACCCTGAACCTCCCTCCTAGAGAGGCTCACGCCAACAGAGGCACTCAGAGGTGTGGCTGGGCAGCGGGTCTGCAAGTAGAGAGAGCCCACAGCTGTCCCCTCCCAGCCCACGCCTGCACCCCCCTCACCACGTAAATGGACCTGGGTGAGGAGCCGCATGGGAAGGGGAGCAGCAGAGGCTGTTGGTACAAAGTCAGTGTGCGGAACCAGCATACACGTCTACATATCTTCCTCTTCATCTAAATGGAGACATGACCGTGGCCAAGACACTTCGCTTAAAGCCCTATGGCGTCTGAGCAAGCAGCAGGGCACGGTGGGAATGATAGTCATTCACACAGCGCTTACTCCTAGGTGCCAGGCAACATGCTAAGCACCTTATGTATACGCGTGAGCTATTTAATCCTAATAATCCTACAAGGAAAGTGCTATCAGCACCCCCAGTTTTCTGCTGAGGAAAACACAGCAGAGAGAGGATAAATGACTTCCCAGGCTTGCCTGGAGCCAGCTGATAATGGGTTGGCCCCAGCAGTCCACGCTCTTAACCACTGAGACATAGTCTTGGAAGCGCAGGCAGCAGACAGGAGCCCACTCACTCGCTGTGTGACTTGAGGCCAGGTCACCACTCTGGCCTGTTCATCCCAAAGCTGGCGCTGATAATAAGCGCACAGGCTTCTGAAGATGGAGTCTGATCACGGTGCGAAAAACACCCAACACAGCACGTGGCAGAGCCTGGGTTCTCCCTGGCTGTCATTCCTCACGTTTCCTTCTCTTCAAGCTCCCAGTTTGGGATTCGACATTCCACTTCCACATACTACAACGAGATCTCTCCCAAGCGTAAGGTTACAAAGGGGTTGCCCCGTCCTTCAGACCCTGGTATGAAGTGTATCAGATTGCCGGGAAGGCTGAGGGGGTCATTCACGCAGCAGCAGGGGTGTGACAGCCAGAGACAAGGCTCAGCGAGTGACCTCCTCAGCGGCTGAGGGTACACGAAAGAGAAGTAAGAACTATAAGAAAAAGTGAGCAAAATGGGCTGGAGGATGGCTGATGGCTCCAGGGCCTCGCTAAGGAACCCCCATGGCTGTGCTTACAAGGGAGTTCATGAAGACCCACACACCCGCATACGTCCAATATGCCTGCCAGTGACCTCAGGAGTCTACTCTTTAGGAATGCAGAATGCTCCCATTTGGATTTGGAGCAGCCAAAAACAAAGGTCACCAATTCCACTCTTTAACAGTCACAGCGCTTCTCGGCCTTTTGGCTAAGATCGAGTGTATTTAAAGGTCGCGTGATTCACGAGACAGGCTGTTCCCACAGAGTTTGAGAATCAGCCACTGCAATTCCTTTTTTATAAAAGATTTGTATCCAGCACAAAGAACTTCTTAAAAAAAATGATTTTGTTTGTTTATTTGAGAGGGAGGGAGAGCTACATAGAGAGAAAGGAAGGAAGAGACAGAGAGAAAGGTCTTCCATCCGCTGGTCACTCCCCCAATGGCAGCAACGGCCGGAGCTGGGCCAGACCAAAGCCCAGTCAGGAGCTCCCCTTGGGTCTCCCACGTGGGTACAGGGCCATCGTCCACTGCCTCCCCAGGCCATCAGAAGGGAGCTGGATTGGAAGAGGAGCAGCCGGACTCCAACCAGTGCCCACATGGGATGCCAGCACCGCAGGCGGAGGCTTCACCGTCTACGCCACAGCTCTGGCCCAGTCACTGCAACTTCTGCACGGCCTCCTCACCCTTCACCTCCACGACCTGGTGGCGCTCTCCCCTCTTATGCCCCTGACCCTCCATGCCCTCGCCGCGAGGACCCGCCTTCCTTTCCTGCCAATCATGAGCAGTTCCTGTCCTCACCTGGGTGTGGCTTGCACCAGCTTTCTCTGTATGTAGGTCTACTGCTCCAGGTGGGTCACTTACAGAGAGAGGCTTCCGGTCAGTCTGTCTCTACTCTGAATGCTGCTTCGTTTCCTTCATGGCACACTGCACCATCTACGACTATTTCCTTTCCCAGAGAATCTAAGTTCTGGGACCAGTGCTGTGGCATGGCAGGTAAAGCCACCACCTGCCTAGCCAGCATCAGATATGGGCACTGGTTTGGGTCCTGACCACTCCACTTCTGATAAAGTTCCCTGCTAATGTGCCTGGGAAACCAGCGGAAGATGGCCCGAGTACCAGGGTCCCCACACCCACGAGGGAGACCCAGAAGAACCTCCCGGCTCTAGACTGGCCCAGCTCCTGCCATTGCTGCCATTGGGGAATGAACCAGCAGATGGAAGATCTCTCTCTGTACCTTTCAAAATAATAAATAGGGGCTGGTGCTGTGGCAAACAAGGATAAGCCTCTACTTGTGGCGCCAGCACCCCATATGGGCACCAGTTCGTGTCTCGGCTGCTCCTCTTTGGATCCAGCTCTCTGCTATGGCCTGGGGAAACAGTGAAAGATGGCCCAAGGCCCTTGCACCCACGTAGGAGACCCAGAAGAAGCTCCTGGCTCCTGGCTTCGGATCAGCGCAGCTCTGGCTGTTGCGGCCTTTTGGGGAGTGAACCAGCGGATGAAAGACCTCTCTTTCTCTGTCTCTCGATAACTCTGTCTTCCAAATAAATAAATCTCTTTAAAAATTAATAAATAAAACTTAAAAAAAGAACACAAGTTCCATGGGAGCTGGGGTATCCTGCCTTTATAGAGGGGTGTCCCTTCCAGAATCCGGAACACAGTAGGTGCTCAATTAGTAGCTGTGGAATCCCGAAAATCACAAAGTACAGCCAATTTAGTAAACGTGTGATGGGCACAGGCAGGACCTGCAGTGGCTAAGAGTCATTCTTGGGCGTGCCAACAGCTGCTGCTGTTTTAACTGGGTGCACTTCTACAGGGCTTCAAGTTACAGGAGACACGAAGCTCGGTGACTCACAGCTCCTGCACTGCTGAGCTGACGATGGTGGAGAGAGGACAGGGCAAAAAAGTGAAAACAACCGAACTGCTACAAAGTGCTGCAGGTGTACCCAGCTGGGGAGTGTGGCGGCCCACTTCGACAGGCAGGTGAGGGCTGCAGGATCGGACCAGAACCACAGGGTGGACCTCGGCAGGTTGACAGGGGGCGGAGGGTTGGCACATCCAAAGGGGAGGCTGTGTTGGGCAACAGATGCGGTGGGTCTGCCGTGGCTGGTGTACACACCGAAGCTGTGGTGTGCAGCTGGGGCCCTGATTTGGAAAGACGCGGGGAAGCAGGCTTGGAGACAGCCTGTGTCCCTTTCTGCAGAGTCCACGGGATCAATTTGGTCCTTGCAAAACAGCACGCTTCCTTGGGGGTAGGGGGAGCCTGGAAATAGGCCATAGTCCAGGCAAGGGGTGAGGACAGAACACCAGCGGGCTCAGCTGAAACCAGGGCAAGAATTGGGCTGTGACAGGGCGCGGCCACACAGGCAGCAAGCAGGTCAAGCTGGAGGAAGGTGACCGCGTTCACCGAAACGGGTTTTGGAAATGGGCTGCCTGGTTAAGAGTCACGATGAGCAGGATGCCCGATAAAGCCTTTAAGACATTCTCGGTATTTCGACAAGATTTCCACCACAAGGGATTCAGAAAATGGACAAGGTTTCCAAGAGCCCAACAGAGACACTGCCTCATTTCTAAGTTTTTGCTTGTAAAGTCACACAGGCCAGCTGACTCGCGAATGGGGGTCTCTCCCGTGTGCTTTCATCAGACCAGGGCCGCACCCCTGCTTTAGAGACAGCCTGGCCCACGGCTGCTCTTCCTTGCTGCCTTCCACCCGCACCAGAATGCTGGGAGGCAGGGACCTGTGTAACTGCCCCTGTTAGGAGAGCCCGATGAGGTGAGCAGGGCAAACTGCACCGCAGAGCAGCCCATTCACCGGCCTGGCAGAAGCTTCTCCACTTGCCAGCCGCCGACGGCACCACCTGCGGCCACCTCCTCCCCCCAGTCCCCAGCATCAGTAAGCACAAAACCATCCCAGCACAGTCTGCAGAAATGCCCAGGAAACTCTCATGAATGTGAACTCAGGGGGGAGCGCAAGAGTAGACAGTTTTCCTCATTGAGCCGCTGGATTTTCATACACTTCATGGCTTCTGTTCTATTAATTAGTGTGCACCCGATTCCTTCCAGGGCCAGCCACTTAGACCTGCCCTTATAATGGCAGTCGCTCCAAGATTCCTCCCAAACATTGCTTTGTTCCGTAACTGCTTTCCTCTGGGGGTGAGGGTTGCACCTGCCCTGAGCTGTCATTTTAATGGATACAGGTGAAAATTAAGCACATGATCAAGGAAAAGGAATCTTAATTACAAACTGGAGAAAAAAGACGAAATTGAAAATCTGCCCGAGCTCTTGATAATACCACGGTAAAGTGAGGGTAATAAAGTTGACATCTCGCAGGGAAGTTACGGGAAGAAACTAATAAAAGATGACTGGGACAAGTGCAGATTTACAAAGACCTAATTAAATGCTAAGGATCAGTAATAAGAACCGGAGATTATGCACACAGTGCCTTCACCGCTGTGAGTTCGAGATGAAGATGCCACGAATCCCCTGGCATCATCATGCAATATCGAAATCTGTGTGCCATTGGCATCCCACCAACAGAACACAGAGCACGGAGAATTGAACACAGCTTTCATAAAAATAAGAAATTACTATATTTACTCTGAGGATGATAAAAATATCTCCAGTGAGTGTCAACTATGATTAGGTTTCTAAATTACTTCAGAGGTACTGACCAGAGGTAAAACGCAACTGTGTTCTTATTGCACTGAGAACAAAAAATATATTGAAGCTACAGGGCTTATGATACGGTGCTGCTGCGATTCCACACACGATGTGAGAATCATCTGTGTTAACTCTAGTGCCGTCAAAGCGATAAAGGTGAAGAGGAGAGAGAGCCCCGATACAGATGGACGGAGCGTGAGTGTAAAACAGGAGAGGCCAAATCTACCAAACTGATCCCGTAGACTCGACAGTTTCTCTGGGAAGAAACTGGCCAGCCGCACAGCTGGCAGAAGTCAGCACGCTGGGAGCAGCCAGGGCTACCCGCGCACACCACGCCGCCGTGAGCTCACGTGAAGGCGGCAGGGCGGCTGCCTTCTGCTCAGGTCATCGGATCCTCTTGTCCAGCTATCCACTCAAAATCCTTTTACCCTGCTCTCTGGTGCGCCGGAGATCCTTACAATTCCTGCGATGCTGACGACAAACGCGATAACCTAACTTTCTACGTGGTATCTCCCAAGCCACCATTTCAACTCCATCGCCCCCCTTCTCCAGGAAGATCTGCAGGGATGAGGAGCACCCGGCAAACTGCAACCTTGCCAAGCTAAGCGGGCTGAATACTTGGCAAACTTTTCTGACGCCCTTTTCTGCCTGACCTTGAACGTGCTCCAGTCTAGGGGTTAGCACTCTGCCATTTCAACACCCAAACAACTCTGAGCTGCCGATTACTGGGACCGACTCCGTCCCAGGTACTGGCTGTGCCCTGCCCCTACTTAGTTCACTCCCTACTCTTCACTCTCCTAGGTGCTGACCCCACTGGACAGATGGGAAAACTGAGAGCCAGAGAGAGGAAGCGACTGAGGCTGGTAAGTGGTAGATCGGGGATCCCCAGGCTCATCGGGACAGGCGCATCTGGTTCTACAGCCCGCGTCTCACCCGCACCAGAAGGCTGAGCGCAGCCCCTGACCCGGAGGGCTGGCTCCAGGGTCCTGGGTGAGTGCTGGCCGCTCAGGCCACCTGCAGCCTCACTGGGCGGGGAGGCGCCCCATCATCTCCTCCCGTGGTGGCGGTGATGCACAGTTACGATTCCTAGACTGAAACTTGAAGACCCGGGTCTTTCCGCCCAACCCGTGTGACCTCGCTGAGTCACAGCCGCGGCTGTACTTAGTATGAGCTGGGCGTGTCCAAGGTCGACCACCGCTGCTTCTGGACCAGACGCCTTCTGACCCGCAACACCATCAGGTTTAGGGTGGGCCCAGGGCTCCAGGCCGGGTCACCTCAGGCCCGGGGCAAAGCCCTGCACACACGCCTTCGCATTTTCCGTCCCGCCCGGCAGCCCTGCAGCTATTACTCGTCAGCTGGACCTCACCAGCCCTCAGTGCATCCATTCTAGATGGGAAACCAGGATCACCAGGCACAGGGAGGACCCTCTTCCCCGCAAAGCGCGAGGCGAATTACAGATAGGAAAACCCAGGTTCAGCAGAAAGGTCTGAGCTGGCAGCCTGCTGGCTCTAGGAGAAATCAGAGCGACGAGCGCCGCGTTCGAGCCCGGCTCCTGCAAGAAGCGAAAATGATTCTCCCGCCTCCCCGGCCAGTGCCACTCCCAGCCGTCCCCTCCGGGGATGGCGCCCGGGCGCGAGCGCGCGCACCCCAGGCCGACGCGGCCCGGCACGGGGTCCCCGCGGAAGGGAGCCGCCTTCCCGACCCCAGGCCACTCACAGCAGCTGCAGACGACGGCTCAGCGCCCGGTGTGCCGAGCCGGGGCGGACCATGCCTCTTGAGCTACACGCCGCCCCCGCTCGGGCGCCCGGAGCCGTCGGACCGGCCTCTTGGAGCCGCTTCCGGGCCTCTCTAGGAATCCCGGAGGCCTGGGAGTCTCTATGATGCCTGGGTTTCTCATCTACTGTCAGGTGTGCTGGGGGCGGGAAGCAGGTTCACTCCAAGAATGCGGCCCACGTTCCAAGTCTGTGTCCCGGCGTTGCGGGGGGCCTTTTCGGGGTCACTTCTATACCCCACCTGCCTGCAGCTTCTGCCTTTAGAATTTCACCTCTGTCGTTGGGTACACCGATTCCCGGGTGCAGGGCCTGATATATAGTAGGTGCCCAGCTCATTGTTGCTTGGATGCTTGGATGGCGGATGGATGGGTGGGTGGGAGGGGGATGGATGGATGGGTGCATGGATGGTGGATGGATTTTCTTTTAAAGATTTATTTATTTATTTGAAAGTCAGAATTACACAGAGAGAGGAGAGGCAGAGAGAGAGAGAGAGAGAGAGAGAGAGGTGTCTTTCATCTGCTGGTTCACTCCCCAGTTGGCCTCAATGGCCGGAGCTGCACCTATCCAAAGCCAGGAGCCAGGAGCTTCTTCTGGGTCTCCCACGTGGGTGCAGAGACCCAAGCACTTGGGTCATCTTCCACTGCTTTCCCAAGCCAGAGCAGAGAGCTGGATCAGAATGGAGCATCCAGGTCTCGAACTGGTGCCCATATGGGATGCCAGCACTTCAGGCCAGGGCGTTAACCCACTGCACCACAGCGCCTGCCCCTGGCTGGATATTTAAAGCCTCTACTGTCTCTGGGTTTCCACATGTGTGTGTGTCCATGTGTTTCCCTGTGCCCCTGATTTCCCTACTTTCCAAAGCTCTATGTGTTCTGTTCACTAAGCAGACAACGAGGCCAAGACTAACCTTTGAGGCTGAAGGACAGGGACTTAGCAAGAAGGTTGCATCTGCTTGGGAGGCCCATCTTTTGTCTCCTCATCGCGAGTGTGGTTCTGTGGGACATTTCAGACTGTGTGTGCACCCACTCACATGCATTCGTCCTTGACAGAATGCACCAGTGGTTGGGAGGATTTCATCCGGGTGACTCAAAGCTGGGGGTGGAGGAGGGGCTTGTGGCACTCTTGCTGATAAATCGGGTACCACATTCAGTTCAAAGAGACTCAAATTAATTACAACATTTAGGGGCCAGCACTGTGGCACAGCGGGTTAAAGCCCTGGCCTGAAGCACCAACATCCCATGTGAGCGCTGATTCTAGTCCCGGCTGCTCCTCTTCTGATCCAGTTGTCTGCTGTGGCCTGGGAAAGCAGTAGAAGATGGCCCAAGTCCTTGGGCCCCTGCACCCACGTGGGAGACCCAGAAGAAGCTCCTGGCTCCTGGCTTCGGATGGGCACAGCTCCTGACGTTACAGCCATCTGGAGAGTGAACCAGCGGATGGAAGACCTCTCTCTCTGTAACTCTGTCTTTGAAATAAATAAAATAAATCTTTTTTTAAAAAAATTACAACATTTACTCCTCAGTTTTCATGAAAAGCACCAGGAACGCTGCAGGGAAGGACCAGCTCCCGCTCTGGGTGTCACAACGGATGAAGGCCGGGTGGAGGGAGCTGCATCCCGACGCTGGCTCCTGGGTGGGGCGCGGCTGCAGTCTGTCCTGCTTCCCAGTCACAAGCCTTCGGGGGACCGGGGTAGGGTCGTCCCAAGGAGTCTTACGGGACAGCTTTGCCGTGGCTGCTCAGGGAACGAGAACGGAAGAGAGGGACCCCAGGGACTGGGAGGCCAGCGGCAGCAGCTCCTCAGACCAGCAGCCAAGGAAGAGAAGACCCCCGAGGATGCGGTCCAGGACACAGATTTCCTTGGGGGAGTTCAGGGGCCTCTGAGGATCACCCGATTTACTGTGTGTTGATAAACGTGAGAAGTGGGGAATTCAAACGTTAATATTCTTGTGCCTCCAAGGGCTCTTCCAAAGCACACGCACTGTGTTTTAAAGGCCAATTCCAAACTTCAGAACTACTTCCTTAGCTTCTGCTTAGATTTCGTGAATTGGCTTTGTAAAGGCCCTAACAAGAAATCCAAGACGTAAATGGCCAGCGAAAGAAATTGACCTCAGTGTGCGTTCGTGTCAATGCTTGTTTACTTTTGTTTTCCCCAGCAGTATGTACAGACTGTGTGTGTATTTCAGGGGGATCCATCTGAGGTGCTAATTCCTCACAGGTGTAGAACACTTTATCTGTTGCAAAGCATTCTCACACCTATTAGAATCTCACAGATGTTGATGTTAAGGTCCATTGAATTCCACAGATATTGATGGTAAGGGTCTTCGGTTTTGAAGCAGCAGAGCGCTGCTCTAGTTTAACAGGTGCAAAGGGGCAATGTTTAGAATCCTAGATAGAACAGTTGTGTGTATCCACAGCAAGCCATCCTAGCTGTTGAACAGCAAGCCTGACACCCTAGTGGTCCAGTGCAGTGGCAGGGTATCGGCCACTCTTATCACCGTCCAGTTCAGCCTGCGGGGAAGGCGGGAGGGCTCTACTCCACACAGTCACTCAAGGACCCAGGCAGCCTGTGCTGTGCTATCGTCTTCAATGTGTGGCCTCCACGGTCACTGCAGAAGGGGAAGTAAGAACTTGGCATTCCTAACACCCCTATCAAAAGTCTCCTGTGACCCTTGGAGGTTCTTCAACCCCTTCACAGCACTGAGCCCGTCTGAAAGCACCTTGTATTCCACCACCTTCCAAGCTCCATGAGAGCAGGGCCCTGCTATCCTGACTGGTGACTCTCCACTGCCTATTAAAGTGTCTGCCACAGACAGGACTTATCGAAGTTCCTGGCTCCTGCCTTCGGCCACTGAGAGCATTTAAGGACTGAACCAGTGGAGGGAGCTCTCTGTTTCTTTATCGCTGCTTCCAATAAAGGAATATATTAAAATGAGTACACCTGGGTAGGGCAGACAGCTGAAGACTCTGCTGCCCCAAGTGTTAAGTGGTAATATCAGCATCACCTGGCAGCTTATTAGAGTCTGGGTCTTGGGTCCCACTCGGGATGTAATAAGCCGATCTGCATTGCAGCAAAATCCCCAGGTCAAGTCACTGAGCGGGGGCTGAGAAGCACTGATGGGCGGGCGCGATGCCTCAGAGCGCCACGACGCCCCTGGGGTGAGTGAGAATGCCCTTGTACCAGCCCCACCTAACCCCTGCAAACCAAGCAGGGGCAAGAGGCTCGTTCAAGGTCACAGAGCTGTTAAGTGACAGAGCTGGGATGTATGACTTCCAACTCCTCCACATGCCCTGTTCCTACTGCCCCACTTCTCCATCTCCTGGATAAACCTTTTTTGCTCCCACTAATGAAAAAAAAAATTAAAAGCAAAATAATAGGGGAAAAAGTCAAGCCGTATTTAGATGGTGGTTAGTGGTTTCAAGAATTTATTTTTTTTTAGGAAACGAAATAAGCATTTATTACTTACAGTGCATTCGATAAAATGTTTCCCCATTACATATTAAAGAACTCTCCAAGTAACGTAATGAATGTTTATATTTCATTTATTCAGCAATTAAGCATCTTAGCACTCTTTCATAAGCATGTATAACACTTACTAAGAATTACTAAGCATCCTATTTGGGTCAATGGTTTTTCTCTTTCCTTTCGAAATATCTCATTATTATTACCCATGTCTCTCTCAGTACTGATTAAGCTAAGTGTTTGAATAGTGCTGATTAAAACTACATGTTCTTTGGAGTGTCCTGGCCAAGGGCTCTCTGATCAGGGATCAAGCACTTGGAGCCCTCCCTTGAGAGAGTAAAGCCAGGTTAGCAATGGAAGGAAATAGCAATTTTTTAAAAAAAGGTTTATTTATTTATTTTAAAGGCATAGTTACAGAGAGAGGGGAGAGAGAAAGAGAGAGAGAGAATTTTCCATCTGCTAGTTCACTCCCCAAATGGCCCCCAGTGATCAGGCTGGGTCAGGCTGAAGCTAGGAGCCAGGACCTTCATCCAGGTCTTCCACGGACTCCAGAAACGTTTTTTTTGAAAAAAGATTTATCTATTTATTTGAAAGGCAGAGTTATGCAGAGTTACAGAGAGGCAGAGGCAGAGAGAGAGAGAGAGAGAGAGAGGCAGAGAGAGAGAGAGGCAGAGAGAGAGAAATCTTCCATCTGCTGCTTCAGTCCCCAAATGGCTGCAATGGCCAGAGCTGGGCTGATCTGAAGCCAGTAGCCAGGAGCTTGTTCCAAGCCTCTCATGTGGGTTCAGAGGCCCAAGGACTTGGGCCATCTTCCACTGCTTTTCCAGGCCATAACAGATAGCTGGATCGGAAGTGGAGCAGCAGGGACTCGAACAGCCTGGACTCAAACCAGCGCCCATGTGGGATGCCGGCACTGCAGGCGGCGGCTTTACCTGCTGCACCACAGCACTGGCCCCTGAAAACATTGATTTTTAAAACTGATAGATATGGGGCCGGCGCTGTGGCACAGGGGGTTAAGCAGCCGCAGTGCATATGGGCACGGATTCGAGTCCTGGCTGCTCTACTTTCTATCCAGCTCCCTGCTAATGCACCTGGAAAAGCAGTGGAAGATGACCCGAGTGTTTGGGCCCTTGCACCGTGTGGGAGACTGGAAGAAGCTCCCAGCTTCTGGCTTCTGCATGTCTCAGCTCAAGCCATTGCAAACATTTGGGGAGTGAACCAGCAAATGGAAGATTCTCTCTCTCTCTCTCTCTCTCTCTCTCTCTCTTCCTCTCTCTGTGTAATTCTGACTTTCAATCACTAAGTAAACCTTTAAAACTGAGAGATAATAATTGCACACATTTGTGGGGTACAGGATGATATTTTGGGCCTGTATACATTCACATGGGGTAGCTTGGGATATTTGCATTATCCACTGCTTCAGACATTTGTCATTTCTTTGTGATGAGAACATTCAACAGCCTCTCTTCCAGCTGTAAGGGCATTCAAAACACTCCAGGAAAAGGCACTCAAAGACAGGTTTGTTTTGATGCCAGCATTTTTGGAATCTATGCGTAGATTTTTTACATTGTGCATCTTCATGAACTTTTTGAGGAGCCCTCAAATGC